AAATTCGATGGCTTATTGGAAGCTTAGAGCGTTTGTCTAGTAAGTGCTTGAGTAGTCGGAAACGTCGAACGATTTCTTGTCGTTTCAATCTGGTATAAGGATTGCAAGTTAGACTGTTTTCATATGGAGTCCAACTTATCGGATTTGTTCAACAGGGATAAGTGGGGTATTATTTAAGAATGCTGTAGGACAGGAGGCCATAGGTACAATACAATTTAAATTAAATTTTAGAAGTGAGTATAAAATCGTATAAAACTAATCTCAAAAGAATATGGTACAAATTTGATCTTTTATGTTTTAATAAGTTCAATCCCTTCTACATTTCACAGTCATTACATATGGCACGTTGCAGATTCAAAAGCGAGAGCATTTATTTGCAAGAATTGGATTGAATTTGATTAGTACTCGATCATTTATTTAATAATCTCTAACTTCTTTCCGATTTCGGAGCAAATCTAAGTAGCGTTTATTTAGATATAGGCGGATCTAGGAAAATTCATTTTCGCATATACCTTATAATAATAAGAAGTAGAGGATGGAATTAAATAAAACCGATACAGCATCATTATTTTGTAACACCCACTTTTTTCAAGTATAAGCCAAATCGAACGAATGTTGAATACATAAATTGAGTTTAAATATTGTTAAACTAACATGTTCGAAAATAAGTAGTATATGAGCTTTGAAGTTTTAAAAAAAGACACGGTTAGAAAGGAGATGTTTTGTTTTACATTTTATAAGAAAAATGGATGGGATTTGGTAAAATCTATACTGGGCCATCTAAGTTTCAATTTCCTCAATCACTGAAAATTACATGACTTTTAAGTAACAGCGTTAGGCGTCATTCCAGTCAAGTGAAATTGACATCAGAATACATTTGAAATTAAATTTTTGAATACAATCTCGGAGGATTATCAGGGATAGTTTTGGATAATGAATTGGAACGTTTGTATGACTACGGACTTTGAAATTAAAAGTAGAATATCTATTTTTGTTCAAATCTGCAACAAGACTGGTCTTCCCGCACTTTATTGCCCCGAATAATTATAAAATCCTTTCATCCAAAATAATTCTTGATAATCCTCCGATGCGTCTCAAAATAAGATGACCTAATTATTGAAGTACTCTTCACAAACACTTTAAAATAAATTTTCGGCAGTAAATAGGGTAGATTTCATAATTCTAATGCATCAAATTATTGCGCGACGGGTAATGAGGACGTTCACGTCACACATAGAATCTGATTTTTCATAAAATAAAAAGTAAAAAAAAATAATTATTTCACTGAATACAGAAAAAAATCTTTTAAGTATGTGGAAAAAACCCTCCATCTTTTCGGATAGAGTTATTGAAGCGATCACATAGGAGCGACGCGTTTATCCTTAAAACATAAACAATGATATGAGAATCTTTAATCCTTTCATGAAATCCTTACCAAAATGTTAATGGAATGAGTTCAAAAATGTCGGTTCTAGAATCAAGATCTATGAAGTAAATTTAGACTGATATATTTGGTTTCATATCCTTATAATAGATTTACTCGTATTTTATTGATACATTTGTAAATTTTAATAACTTTTTTTTTTTTTTAACTGTTCGTATGTAACGAACGATGTAGAGAACTACAGCCTTGTGTTCGTTACATCTTCTGAGCCCCAACTTCCATATCGTTAACTCTATTCCTCTTATGAGGTATTGAGTTCTGAAAGAATATATGCTGTTCCTCCCCTGGGATATCCTCATCAGAGGTTAACGAAGGCCTTAGACAGCCGGTGCTCCAGTAACCGCATTAGAAAGACTACTCCTCATTGGTTGAGCTCAGCTCGTTAGGCTGGGTCGACACGATAAATAATAAACCTAAGTGGCTCCTTTTCCAGGCAGCTAATGGTATGCACCCTCTAAAGTCTAGTCGGTAATGATGGTAAACTCCTCCAGCATTCTGTGACAATAGTGCTATCCATACTTTAAAAGAATTCAGGGATCCGGAATAAAAAACTGCCCAGTAGGACTTCGTCTATATTTCTATTGGTTACACCATATAATATAATAGAATAGAAAAATAAATTCTATGAAACAGCTGACTGCTATTAATTACAAGAACTGAGTACAGAAAAATAGAGATTATTTCTAGTCGAAAAACCTAAGATATTGAATTATTAAAAACATTAGAATACCTAAATGACAACAAATGCATAATCGTAAAGAAAAAAAATTAATGTTTTCTCTAAAATAAAAAATACAATAAATTAAAAATTATATGCATTCGTATATTTTATATAATAGCCTATGGATTATAAGATTTTTTTTACTGTTTATATGTTTGATTCATTATTGTTTAATACTACTGACATATCCGGTCTTAGAGATAATATATTTAAGCTTGAGGTATAATAAGGGCATTCCTGGAAAATATGATTGATAGTGAGCAAGGGCGGATCTACGGGGGAGGGGGGGCTTTCGGGCTGAAGCCCCCCAAAATGGGATAATATAACCATGTTTTATCGAAAAAAACATTAAAAAATTATCTCTCAAAGTACTATTGTTCGTGTAATTACATTCAAAAGAGCTTTAGGAATCACTTAAACACCATTTCATATAGGTAGTTAGTTTCTTTCTTTTTTTCCGAAGTAATTATCGTTATTTTTATGAAAAAAAAATCTTTCGGGCTGAAACTCCCCCCTCCCCCCAAAAATTAAATCCTGGATCCGCTAGTGATAGTGAGTGGACTATTGCAATGTTCCTATTTTGGTGATGGTTGTTTATTAACGAGTTAATCGTGTGTTCTATTAGTCCGTGTTGCAGACCTCTTTTTATCGACTTTTTTTATGTATTTATTTATAAATATAACCATCTGTCGCGTGGACAATAATTATAGTGATATATGATATTTTATTTATTTATACATGTTTTGGACTCTTCAACCACTTGGGTCATTTTCGCCCTATATTACAATTTGATGAATTACTACACACATAACTCAACTATAGCTAAGAAATACAATTTAAAGTTTGAAAAGTTAAGAATAATTACAGATTATTATGATAGTACGATTGAACTAAAATTATAAAAATTGAAACTTAAAGATTTAATAGAAGATAAGATAACAGAGACAATAAAAATAAAGATTAATGATATTAAGAATAAAAGCTAAAAAATACATTTTTAAATAATAAAAGTTAATACTAATAGAGGCAAAGTTAAAGAATACAGTTTAAACATTAGAAAGTACAAGAACCATTAAAATTAAATATTAAAGATTAGAGAAAGATAAGTTAACAGTTAAGAAGGAAATTTAAATAAAAGGTTAATGATTTCTGGAATATAATCTAAAAATACAGTTTAAAAAACAAAATTAATATTAAAAGAAGAAAAGTTAGGAAGTACAATTTAAATATTAAAAACTAAAAAAAAAAAGAAAAATTGAAAAACTATTATAGTTAAAAATTATGATTAAAAGAAAAAAATTAACAGGTATAAATAAATAAATAAATATAAATATAAATAAATATCGAATTATTAACGGTAATTGTTTATGAGCCGTGTCTAAAGCATTTACGCATGCGTAATTGAAAGTAGTGAATGGAATTTAATTAACTCCATATGACACAATTTAGATACCATCCATCTTAATCTCTAAACATTTCAGGAATATAAAATTAACGCTTATAGGTGTGAGGGATTTGACTACAGAAATACATGTTACCAAGTTTGTTTCTTGATACCTTGAACGTAATAAGCGATTTGTTTATTATGAGGAACAAAGTTAAATACTAACAACTAAAAGTAATATCAGCTTCTAATAAAAATAAAATCTTAAAATAGCTCAAAATCGTAAAACCCAACATGTCTGCACTAATCCGAAAAGTTTTTTCATGACATTATCCAAACACTCACGGACTATAAACTGCGTAATAAAACTCACCTGCAACTCCTTCAAGAAAATTTCACACCCCGCCGATTTTATGGGGACACGGCGAGAGTGGCTGGATGATAAAGGATGAATGAAATTGGTTATTTGAAGAGAGGGGTGAACCCCATCCCACTTTTTTTACGACTCTGGAAAAACCAATCTATATAAGGGTGCTAAATCCAGGGGCCTCGCGTAATAAGACAATATCTTGGGGATGGGCATAGTCAACTATATAATTTAGGGTATGGGGTATGGCTTTCAAGCCATCGAGCTTACATATTATAAGCAGCTTTGCTGAGTGGCATAAATATACTTACATCGTATCTCGTTATTACTTAAATCTCTTAAATTATTATATCCCTAGTAGTATATTTTTTCCGTACGATGAGCTTAGAGAATCTTAATAGTGTATTCAGCCTCTTATATTTTATGGCCAATTTTTATTAAGAAATAAATGTGCCAAAAAGGGTCTTTCTGACATTTGTATTGAATCAATTCAATACGAAAACATATTCAAGATTTTGATGGCTTCAATTGTTTAAACCTTGAAATGCAGACACCCAATTATTGATCCTAGTATATTAATACTCTAGCTAGTATAATTATACTATATTATATTTATATCATAAATTTCAAATCACGACAAAGAAGCACACCAGACTTTAGTCATAAATCGCTATGAAAGTATGGGATTTTAAGTTTTGAAGATGGGAATAATTTTCCCGAAACGTCAAGTTAACATGTAATTGAACAAATAAACTAATTGTTGTATATCTGGAAGTTTTGATGGTCGAAAATAGAGAATACTTACATCGCATCTCCTTATTATTTAATTTCTTAAATCTATTTTATATTTATGGAAGAATATATCTCGAAGAAGAGAGAAAAAAACGATAAAAGCCCCAAACTATTGAAGAAGACTCGTGACTTTAAAAGTCGAAGTCAACTGGCAAAGGAAAAAAAAAATCTGATTGATATCTTTCAGAATATTATAGTACTATAAATATATTAATAATTTTTGCTACTTTTTTAAAAATAGTTTTTGTTCACACTAATTAAATAGCAGTTGCCTCTCGCTGAGTCGAGGTCAATGAACAACGCCTGTCCAAACTGCACCCTTCACAGAGAATGCTCAAAACAGTTTGGAATTCTTCTGTTGATTGAGCGATGGTCCGGACTGCATTCCACCACCCAACTGTCTGCTAACAACCGCGTTCAACCTTAAAACGTTCAATTTACTTAACCAACTGCGTCAAACCATAAATTATCTGCATGCCGCTGCTAAAACTGTATGTGCAAGAAAACGTAAAAAGTGCAGTTTAAACCAGAGATGTTTTTTTCTTATTTTATACAACAGTGCCTCACACATCATTAGTAACGGATTTAGGATTTAATTTTAGGAGAACTTAAAAAAATAGCATTGTTATTTCTCTGAAAGAAAAATAAATAAAGTATATAAGTTGATGTTTACGTTGTCTTCGAAGGTCTTCTTCTTAAAAAAAAGTAAAAAAATGCTGAATATGCCCGAATTTCCCGCCGTATATAGAATTTGTAATTCTTGTAAATATGATTCGTATATATTCTTTATTAAAAATTGCAATAAATTAAGTTTTTTAGTAAAGTTATTTTAATTCTGCCATCTATTTATATCATGATGATGGCAATTAAAATGTAAGTAATTAGAAAGCACGAGAAACAAAAACCAGCCTTTGTGAAAAGAAATCCAATTAATTAATCATGAACTAAATATGTTTAAGAATCAAATTTATTTTACTAATTAAATTTTATTAAACAATTCTGAATAATCTAAACGCTCTGTTATTAGGAATATATCACTTATGAAGGCCAGTCCGTCTGTCCCAATTTCGTTCTTCTTCTTCCTGATACTTTTATAGTTATATTCTATAATAGTTTGAACAGATTCCTCTTTTTTAACATCTCATTTCACTTCTAAATTATATTTTCCAATATACGCATTGTAATATATCATATTATTTAGATAGTCAATAACCTCGAAGTAATCTTTAATCAAAACCTCTCTTGGATCAAGCATATTTCCCAGATCTTCCAAAAATCTACAACAATTCGTACGATTTCGTGATTCTATTCCGAAAGTAACCAGATAGCTCCTTGTAACATCACTTATTTTCCCCCACTTCGACTACGTTTACTTGGTTTATGGAGGCCTATCCACAAGACTGGAAGCAAGACTGAAAAGACTGATTAATCGCTTCATAAGATATATTTTTGGGATTTCCAGGTATACCCATGTTTCCTCCCTATATACCGAGTTGAAGTGGCTCTATGCTACTTCCCGACAGCAATTCTTTCTTGGTGTTTTCCTTTTCCAAGTCCTCAAGACCAAACATCCTCTTTACATCGTAGAATCCCTTACTCTAAGTTCCTCTGTCCACTCTCTTAATACCAGATCTCAGCCTATAGACCTTTATATTCCCTCCCATAAAACAACTTCTTTCTGCAAATCCTTCGTCTTTCGTGCTACCTCCTTTGGAACTCCTTACCTATCTCCATACCAGATACCTATCTCCATAAGAGCCATTTTATTTTCATATTTATTTATTTTTCTCTCTGTATTTCTTGTATATATGTGTATATTTCCTTAGTATTTTTTGTATATGTCTGTATTCTACTTGCCAGACTAAAGTATTTATTTTTTGAAGGAGACTCTTAAGAGTCTCAGAATATAATTAATTTTTTCATTTCATTACTTGTCAAACTGTGGTAAAACCTCTCCGCAAAAGGGAGCCACAATAAAGATATAAGGGAAGAATAAGTAAACAATGGCCATTTTGAAATAAGGATCTGAAAGAGCGGTAAGTATAGAGATAAATCTGAAGCGTGGATGGTCCCTGGGTGTCCAGCTCCGCCATCTTTTCATTTAATTGCCCCTTATTGTCAGCTGTTGGTGATCTACCGCCTCTTCGATATCTCTTTGGGCTCTGTACCTGCCTCTCTCCCACTGCCACTATGATATTTATTATTTTTATCTTGGTTAGCCAAGTCAAAGTTGATTTATTTTATTTCCAAAAGATTTATGAACGGATATTCGGTTTATGACATGGTGCTATTGTTACATTCACAATTACTAAAGCATGGAAACGTTAGTATGAGTGCATAATTTAAAAAATAATCAGGAATTAAAAAAAAAAGAAGAGCTCCATCACCGAGATGGTATTTTTTTCTTTATTTTGTCTGGAAAACAGATGAAAAGTGATTTATTTATTGATTTCATGAGAAAATTAACTATTTTTTTTACTTTAACTATCGATATCATCAAAATATCGGACTTGAAATATCAATAGTTTATATTTTCTTCGGTATTCGATATAAATATTGATTTCCTAGAACATAGATGTATAAAAAAAAATGTTATTTTCCTCTTCAAATTAATGTTTGGAAAAATAAATTCTTCTACTCTCCTTAGTAAAATTAAATTTCTAGTTCCTGTGTATCTTCGTATTTTTTCCCGAAATTTCTATTCACCCATAGATCGGATTCAGCGAAATACTAATTTATTTGCGTTCTATATAGATTTCTGGTCTTGGTTTGAAGAAATTCTAACTAAAAAAAATTGACACATTGAGTTTACTGTGTGAGAAGGGATCTAGGCCTCGCTATTCAATTCTACTTAAAGTGGACATCCATACTCATTATTATCGAAATATCGACATTCTCCTCTACTACGCACTGCACTCTATATGAAACAGGCAAGATGACTATAATTTTTTTTTCTTATGCTCATATCTAATTTCTAGCACTTTGTGAAAACAATGTATTTAATTTTAATTTAGAAATTAAAATATCGGAGGGACGATATGAATAGTCGATAATATAGAAGTAGATACTGTCGACGGTAAAATAACAAAAATAGAGTCGGTAATATTAATTTAGTAAATTAATTATAAAAATAAACTTTAATTCCTTAAAAGATGCTGCTTAAATGGAAAATGCTGCTTTATCAAATTTTATTGTTTAAGGAGATAATGAAACGTTATTCATAACACAGATATCTATTGCGTAGTTTGGCCTCTCAAAAGTCCAATATAAAAATTTTTGACAAAGACAAACCCTACTTGTATTTGAAGGAAATTTTGTCTAATTTACGATGAAGCAACGTTTAATTATCTGAATTCAGTACTTTTCTGTGAACTGGCAATAGAATTAGAAAATCGGTTCAAAACCTTAGCAAATAATTCAAATAGAACTAATATATACAAAAACTTAAATCATGATATATCGGGGAACAATTATTTCGATAAGAAATATATATGAAACGATATATATATATATATATATATATATATATATATATATATATATATATATATATATATAATATATATATATATATATATATATATATATATATATATATATATATGAAACGATAATAAAATGGATATTCAAGGCCAGAGCAGAATTAATACAATTAAACTGTAGGTTTTATTATGAAACAAGTAATAAATTATGTTCATTATGCAATCGGAATGAAATAAAAAATATCGATCATTTTCTTGGTGTATTTCCTGTTCTGGTGGAACTTAGGAGAAAATATTTTGGAAAAGATAGCCTGACATTTGGGGGAATAATTGCATATTTAGACGGAAAAAATTGGCTAAGTCTATCCAATTATTGTAAAGGAGCCTGGCAATACAGATATGCCTTATCCCAAGAATTTAATTATTAGATGAATAATGTTTAAGCCCGAAAAATTATGTAGTTATATTAAAACATCTATATGAAAACTGTGTATGTATTTACATGTTTATGTATTTATATGTGTGTATAATTATATTTGTGATATTATGAGCTGATACATTGTATTTCTGTATTAATTAACACTAATTAACACATTAACACTGTATTTATTAACATTAACATAGTAGGTTTTAGTTTATATTATTGTATCAATAATACTTATTTTGCCAAGGCCAGCCTCCGGTTGACGGTTTCAAGAACCAAGAACCGTATGTATTTTTTATTGAGCTTGAATACTTTTGTTGTACGTTATTGTATAAATACTCAATAAAAAATTCATTCATTCATTCAGTACTTTTTGTGTTATAGCTTCCTCTGAAAGAAAAGACAAAATTTCAGAGTATCGGCTCACACATCAAATGAAATTTTTTGTTGGACATTTTGTCTTTAATCACCTCCTAGAATTTGCCCATTTAGATCTGATACATCCTGAAACTTACCCAAAATTACTGTACCTAAACATTTTCGCACAGATTATTTCAACCATTGGTTCTATAGTATCTTACACGTGCTTGAAAAATTATTTACGAGGTCAGTAGGTAATAAGATGAACTATTTGTACAATGACTAATTGACGGAAACAGAATAAAATAGTGACATAATTGTAGGAAGCACACGTTTTCACCTCATCAATTAGTATATAAGAGGCAGTGGATTCTGAGTTGAGCACACACATTGTAAAGCTCCCACCAACATGACAACTTCAACATTCGTCATCATTGCTCTTTGCCTGTCTTGCCAACTCATGGTTAATTTTATATAATTTATTTTTAATATGTTAAAATAGTGGTTAATATATGCCTGTTATTTTTCTGTGACAAAACTACTTAGTTCGCGCCTCTTGTCCCGGAACTTAAAACAGTTCTTTATGGATGCGAAACTTGGCCGCTTACATTAAGGGATGAGCAGCGTCTTAAGGTTTTTGAAAATAAAGTATTGCGTAGAATATTCGAACCGAATTGCGTGAACTGTATCTGGGTAATATAATTAAGGTAATTTCATCGCGGCGAATCAAATGGACTTGTAAAATTGTTGGGGTTAGTAACGAGAGAATTCCTAAAAGGTTAATATTTGCTGTACCGATTGGTAAATGTCCAAGGGGTAGACCGAAGCGAAGGTGGGAAGATTGCATTAAAGCCGAAGGGACTGGGTTTCGACAGCGAACGTTGGAGGGAGGTGTGTAATAAGCGATTATTGGTGTCGGCATCGAACCTTATGGTTCGCTAAGCCTTTTATTATTTATTTATTATAATGGTTAATATAAAATAGCAGTGTATGCTAAATAGTACTGCACATAGTAAACAGTACTCAGTTTCATTTTTTCTTAGATCTTATTTTTCTGGTTTCTTTTTCAGTTTTCTGTAAATGCAGCATCTGTGGCTCAAAACGCAGGGGACGTGCAAGGGTGTGGACGAAATCCACAAGGAACGTCTACTGCAATCCCACGTAAGTTTATACCAAGCTAGTTATACCCCGAATTTCACCAACATTAAAAAAAGTTTAACAAATTTGTTTTATGAAGAAGGTATATTTTAAACAATTTAATGAAAACTTACAGTATTTCATAGCATAGTATATGAGCAATAGTCTTCCAGATTGATTTAAGTTTTTAGTTACTGTTTCGCCGAAAATAGGTAGATTATAGATTAGGCATTATTAATTCTTAGAGAAATATAACAAGAATAAATAAAAAAAAGACAAATTATTTAAAAGAACAAAAAACTGTACCACTACTACACATGAAGGGGCTCAGTACTATATTGGGAAAGTACTGTTTCTTAGTCAACGGTTGTGAAAGGAGGTGATTTGACTGAGATCACGCTCAACCGCCAGGTTTTTCCTCTTTATTAATTCTTTAATTAAGGCTACCCACTTTATAGAAGCTATGTGTAATCCAGAAAGGTATCCCGATCCCAGGGTCACCTCACGGCGGATGAAACAGAATAAATATTTTTTTTGCCATGAGCAGGGATTCGAACTCGAGACATTGACCATCGAAAGATCAGTGCCCTACCACTGAGATATCCCACTCTACTATTTAAAAGAAAATCGCACCTAAAATATTCAGTCAGAAATTTTTGTTTATGCTTACTTTTTAAGGTTACAAGAAAACTTTGACAATGTTTCTCAGTTCAGTCATGACTAATGTCCGAATAAAACCTGTAAATATGACCTTTGTTAAAAACTGTCAAAATACTTAAAATTGTGACTTTAAATGAAGTGAAGGAATTTTCACGGGAAATAGTATAGAGAATAGGGTATCCCCAATCAACGGTAATCATAGTTAGGAGAGAAAAAAGCGAAAGAAAAATATTGGGAGAAGAAAAAACACAAACGGCCATTTCGACCGCTAAATGGTACGATTATTTCTAGAACGTTTCAAAACTGGCAAAGAAATATCCTGAAATCTTCCAGACAGCAATTTGGTAGATAAAATGAAATCTGATAATATGTTTACTGGGTGAGGCAATTTCTATGATCTTCCAAAAATCTGATCAATTTGGTCACTCTTGTATGTTCTTTTTATAAAAAGTATTATTATACTGTAATGTCTTCTAAAAAAATATTGCTCTCCAAAACTGGTGTCTTTCCATTTTCCACTCCATAGAAGAATAACGTACTGTAACTTTGGGACAGCAAGTAAAATTTAGTTTGTGGTGATTCCGTGGTGGATACACTATGATGATTCAGTCTGCAAAAAAGGTGCTTTGTGTAGGCATGTACTGCGCTGCTACCTTGCGGTAGTTTGAGAACCCAATTAATATACAAGACCATACTGAAACCAATCTGGACTTACTACGGACTTGAACTGTGGGGGACAATTAAATTTTCGAAGATCAAACTCATCCAATCCTTTCAGTTTAAAGTCCTCTGTATAATAGTCACTGCTTCTTATTATGTTACGAACTCAACCTTACAACAAAACGTTTACATCTCTTATGTCCTTGACGTTATTCCATTCCGATTCTCAAATTTTCAATTGAACCTAATCCACCATTCTAATCCCTTAGCACAATCCTTATCCAGCTCCAATCATCCCTACAATCCTCCTTGAAGGCTGAAACGGCAGCTCCCTCGAGACCTTTTATAAAGACTGTCTCTGGAGTTTTGCTAATGGCCAGCTTCTCCAATCAAGTCATGAACGTTTGTGGCTTTAGTGCTCTCTCTCAGTCTTCATTGGACTCCAATTAGAGTGACTCGGCTGAGAGAGAAGCGCTGGGATCTCTTAGAGTCTCGCTGTGTCCTTCACACGTGGAGGAAAGGGCTGGACTCGGAGCTCCCTTGGATGATTGCAAATATTGTAATTAAGTATGAATGTTTTTCTTTTTTTATTCATTTATTAGTTTTACTTATAATTTATTTAATTTGCTAAGAATTTCTGTATATTTTTTTTTAATTTGATTTCAAGTTACATTTCTTTGGTTTTATAGTTTTTGCCTTTGTTATATAGAAATATATTTATTTTTATTGTATTATATACATATGGTATGAATGTGTCTCACTCAGGTTTAGTACTCAGTGCCCTTGAGCGTGGCAAAATGTATTATTTCTCAATAAAAAGATATTTTAAAAAAAGTTCACTACTCTCGTTGTGCAGTTAGGTTTTAATATTTCCACTTTTTTTTTCAAAATTCTTGTTTTCATGAAACTTTCGCTTTTGACTCGAGAGTAGTGCAAGATAGTAGCGCAGTACATGTCTACACAAAGCATGTTTTCGCAGACTGAGCCAACTTATCCACCACGGAATCACTAAAAACTAAAGTTTACCCAATGCCCCAAATTTACCAAACCAGTCCCAAAGCAAGCCCATTGGATTGGTGATGTGGTTGGAATTTTTTGAAATATAACATAATAAATTAATTTTTTTTTCAGTTCCACAGTCAGGTTCTTCCAACGCACAATCTGCATCTCCACCCCCCACCCAAACCTAAATGAATTCAACGCAACACACTGAACATAATGAACTTCACCCAGATTGTTATATCAACTATAGTTTAATACAATAGAAAACTCGCACTAATAAAACTATAAATATTGTATTTTATTATTCAATTTTACTAAACTTTTCTACCTCTCCCCTTCTCTATTGTTAGTTATGTTTGAAAAGTTTTTAATTAAAAGCATTGATTCTCTCAAGTAGAAGGTTTAAAAAAAAATACAATATGTTTTGTGTTACTATTCACATAAAAACTAATAATTAATATGTATTATGCGTTATTATTGGTATGTACATATTTATCAAAAATATATTTAAAGCACATGAGGAATAAGGCCACAATATATTCTCTAATGAAAGAAGAAACCTTATAAAAAAAAAGTTCACCTTAATATAATATTTCTGTTGTTTAAATTATATTTAACTAGGTCAACATAATTGTATAGTAACATAGAAAATAGTAATCGGAAGAATTTTACAATGAACGACTTGGTAGATAGAAACAAACGTATTCAGGAGTATATTCTGGATTAATGAAAATTCATTGCAGATGATTAATAATTTAATAAATAAAGTAAAAACGTATTCAAATATAGTGTTATAATGTACAAGCAAAAAATGATGCCTACTATGACTCTATGTTTGATAACGATGTATGTGTTCAAATTCATTAATTCAAAAATCATCTACAGAGAAAAATAAATCCTTGTTACTTAATACATAATTAGCCGGCGTCAGATTGCTTCGTCAAGATGGATTAGAATAGATTGATTTTAAATGTGGATAAGGGAATATTTCTTAATTAATTTTTATTGATATTTACTGTGCTAATATTTTAATTGTATTTATCACTATCGTTTTGTTAATGTTTGTCTGTAAGAATTCATACAGGGTGTTGAAACACTTGAAAAAAAAAAAAAACCCGAAGGGTTAAGTGGCTGAACTGTAAAAATGAACTGAGGAAATCAAAACAAGAAAAAAATGTCTTCTGAAGGTATGTGTCCATTCTATGTATAAGAAAAGAAGTGATCTAAACGTTAACAAATGAAAGGAATAAACTCCAAATTTATGTAGTTTATAAAATCTGTAAATGATATAACGCCCGAAAATAATTATTACTTCACTATATATATATCTGAGATGATCATTGCCAAAACGGATTATTTTCGGATAAAATAATAAATAAAAGAAGAAAATGAAGTTTTAAAAATAAATTAAGTATTATTTTTATTTAAGTAAAATGTCCTGCGTAATTACTCTATGTAACTGTATCTTATTATTTTCACACAAATTATTTTGACCTTTCGTCAAAAGACAAATTATTTCGTAGTATTTGACAGAAGTTTGAAAAAATGTACTTACAAGGCCAATAGATAATAAGATAAACGACATTGATCAGTTGTACAATAGCCAATTGACGGAAACAGGATAAAATAGTGACATAATTGTAGGAAGCACACGTATACATCTCACCTATTGATATATAGGTGGCAGTTGGGTTCTGTGTTGAGCAGAAATATTTCCAAGCAAACATGAGAACTTCAGCTGTTTTTGTCATTGCTCTCTGCCTATCTGGGCAGATCCTGGTGAGTTAGTTTTAAACATAACTTTTAAAATTATACAAGGTCCAATTTAATTATTAAAACTATTAAAACCAAATGTGAACTGCCATTTGATCGATATCGTTTATCCCTACTGCCTTTGAATTACAAGCCATATTAGGAAAAACATGTTTATTAATATATAATATATTAATATATCAATATACTCCATTCAACAAACATAAATGGTGAAACTTTGTATTTTACCACGACTTTTGAAGTACAAATTTACCTAATAAGAGATTAGACATGTTCCATATCGAAATATCTTTAAAGTTTAATAGTTAAGTAATAAGATGCAACATTCTCTGAATTTATATTAATCCATTATTGTATTTACTTAAAATTTATTTGTTTTGCCCAGAAGAGCGTTTGTTAGTAATTCACTTACGAGAGTGCAGAAGTGTATTGCTGAGCGTATAGAAGCCATACCAGGATGTTGTTTTGCATATATATAAAATACCAAAAAGTTTTCTTTTATATTATTTTAAATGCCAAGGTATCATAGAGGTATTATGTACCATTTATAGTCCAGTAATCTTGTCAGTAAGCTATATTTTCGCACTTTTTTCGATTTCGAGCAGCACATTTCAAACTTCTATTAGCCGACTCCGTCCGACTTTACTGCGTTACATATTGGAGATCTGACGGTTCAATCTAATTTACTCTCCAAAAAATTGCAAAACGCTCCTAAAGAAGTTTTCAATTAAAAAAAAATATTTTTTTAAAAATAATACTTTGCTATTTAATAATAATTTAGTTCTTGTAATAATAATAATTATTTAATAATAGTTCTCATTTAAACTAAAAGTTTGGACCAACGCTAATTTTGTCTTAATTAATATCCTTTGATTAATTGAATGAATTTGAAATTATTTATGTCATATACATGTCTCTCCGATTGCATTATCATAGTGTTACGCCATTTACACATTTCCTACGAGGAAAATTTATCTACTGATCAGCTGTTATGTTCAGCAGTTTATGTTAACAATTTTCCTCATATAGAGCAAAATGGAACATTTTCCTCTTCCGCTGCGTGAGATTGAAGAGACGTAAATGAAAATATTCCAAATGATATGATGTTTTAATAATTTAGATTATATATACGCTGTAATGATTATTTTTTTTGATAATGTAATGTACAAAAATGTGTTATATTGACCTGTGATTTTTCTAAATGTCCGATATCTGAAATATACTAGATATTAAATATGAACTTTTAATTTACATTATTTTTATGTAATATGAATTAAAATGCGTTTATGAGCATAAATGAGAAACAAATGGACAATGGAAAATTCCGTTTTTAGAAGTCTGGGCGTTATTCCTGAAAATATATATTTAAGTTTATATCCTATATATATTAACTGAGAAATAGAATTTTTACTCATTACATTCATCTATTTTTTATTATCTAATTTCTTTGAATAAAGCTTTTAAAAATAATCATTGAACTATCATGCTATTATAAATTATATATAACAACAACAAATAAATATTAATTTATCAATGGTTAATTTTAAGTAATTTTTGAACCCAATTTTATTACAATAACATTCTTTTATCTATATTTAAAAAAAAGATTATTTAGTAACATTAAAACACACACAAATATATCGACCACTTTTTTTTAAACAATTATTTATACATGTTAAGAAAATTTTCCTTTTTGTTCGTCAGGATTTTTGTTGTTCCTTATTGTTCTTATTGTTCATATTTTTTTTTTTTTGTAGATAAGCCATCCATCATTTTAGATTTTTACTATTTTCAAGTTCTCTACTACATGCTACATTCCCTATGCAAGTTATAAAGTATATATATATATATATATATATATATATATATATATATATATATATATATATATATGTATATATAAACAGTCATATATACAGTGGCTCACACTAGAGAATCCAAGATTTAATTTTGGAGGAGGGGGCTTCAGTCCGAAAGATTTTTTTTTGTATGTATATATTAGGATAATTACTTCGGAAGAAATAAATAACTACCTATATGAAATGGTGTTTAACTGATTCTTTAAGTTCTATAAAATGTAATTAGACGAACACTAATACTTTTACAGATAATTTTTATCATGAAACATGGTTATATTTTACCATTTTGAGGGAGGGGAGGGGGCAGCCCGAAAGTCCCTCTCTCTCTCCCCCCACGTAGATCCGCCTGTGGTGCCTCACAGTAAAATTGAAACACGCCGTGGAAAATATAAAAAAAAAAGACAAATGGTTACAGTAAACAAATAAAATCCAAAAATTATCCAACAGATTTATTTATAAGTTCAATTTATCAACCCTGCCGTGCCTAGTAGGCAATACGGGTGTCTGCAATAGTAAGATGTTAGGCAGGTCAGCTCAACATCTCACTGCTGCAAATGAATCTCGTTCTTCTGCTCTTTCTTCATTTTTTCCTCTTTCTTCATGGGTGCTTTCCTCATCCGTTTCACGCCAATGGTATAGTACCTCTTCCTCCTCTTCTTAAATTAAAATGGGCTGGCCCCACCGCGACTTTCCACCCGTACACAAAATCTTTGTAGTACGGGTAGTTTTCCGCAGTGACTAACTGAGGAAAATCGTTCTCTGTGAGAATGTAGAGACCGGTTTCCCTCAGTAACTTAGCCCTTAGTTCTTCAAAGGCGGTGCAGTCCACTATGATGTGCTCAGCAGTCTCCGGAACACCGCAGCTAGGGCATAGGGGGTTGATGTCCATCCCATGGCAATGAAGCTTTGCTCGAAAGCCCCCATGGCCTGTGAGAAATTGCGAGATCCAATAGTCTGGGACGATCCACCTTGCTTCTAAACGTGACCGGACGGTGGGGAAGTACTTCCTCAAGGTAGATCCTTTGGGGGTTATCACCCACCGCCGGTTCCATTCCTCCAATGTGTCGTCCCGTATAATGTTTTTCCATTTGCAAGGATTCTCGTCAATTCTCACCTTAAGATGTTCCGGTAGACCTGCTGAGCCGTTTTTCTTAAACATGTGCTTCATCATATCTTCTCGCAGGAGAAGGTCGAGAGGTACCCCTCCTGCTAATACCTGCACCGCCTCATGGGATACGCTTCGATACGCTCTGGTGACCCGCAGCAATGCCGTTCGCTGTATTGTCGCCAACTTACTCTTCTGTCGGTGCGAGAGGTTCTGGTTCCAGGCGGGAGACGCATACCTCATGATACCCAGAATCACTCCCTTATAAATTGTTAAGGTTGCTAGGTCTCTGAGGCCCCAGAAAGCGCCCCCAACCCGGCTGAGTCCGTTCAAAGATAGGGCCACCCTGTTTCTAAGATAGTCCAAGTGAGGGGTAACGTTGAATTTTTTCCCAAATCTTACGCCTAGCTAAGTGACCACCTCACTTGGATGTATTCTCAATCCTTGAATCGTTATGTTAATAGGGTGTGCCCTATCAGTTTTCCCTTTCATGGCAATTGTATGAGTCTTTGAAGCGATTGATAACTTTTTCCTCTCGCACCATTCTCCGACCAAGTTGGCGGATCGTTCCGCTTCTTGTCTTAAGCCGGCTATGGTATTGGAGGCCACCACTACTGCCAAATCGTCAACGTATCCAGTGGCAGGGAACCGTTGTTCTTCTA